AGCAGAGCCGTGAAGTACAGGGGTGGGGCTAGGCCACTCCTGTCATGTCAACCTGGAGCTGCTGGGTAATACCCCTGAAAAACTAGCCCTGTCCTCAGGCTTCAGAATGGGAGCTGGTTGGGGGTGGGGGAGAAGTATGTGTCCAGGTTTGTCTCCCTCTCCACTCCCGGTGAGATGGTTGTTTGGGTTTCTTGGTGATAGAGTTGTGCTCCCCTTCTGCTCTCAGAGAGCTAAGAAGATGGTGTATTTGTTGAGCCTTTGTTGACTTCAGTATCCCATATTCAAAATGTTGGGGACCTGAAGTGTTTCAGATTTTGGAATTTTTTAGGTTTTGGAATATTTGCATGGACTTTGTTGGTTGAATATCTCTAATCTGATAATCCAAAGTCTGCCCTGCCCCCAAATCCAAAACCGAGCATCAGGGCAGAACTCACAAAGTTACAGATTCTGGTACATTTCACATTTTTGAATTATGGATATTCAACCTTTATATACATTTCTTGTTTTTGTTTTTGCAGTGATGGGGATTAGGGTCAAAGCCAGGGCCTCACATGTGCTAGGCAAGGGTTCTGTCCCTGAGCTACATCCCCAGGACTTTTTTTAAAATTTTGAGACAGGGTTTCACTGACTTGCTGAGGCTGGCTTCAAACTTGTAATCCTCCTGCCTCAGCCTCCTGAGTAACTGAGGATTACTGTGTGTGCCACCTCACACCAGTAATGTATGCATTTCTTATTTTTATGAGAGAATGAACTTAGAAATTAAGAAACGAAGAAGTGAACGCTTTTTTTTCCCAGTGCTTTATTCACTCAAATTACTGAAAGAGGCACAGAATTGCTCGAAGTGTTGGAGGCAGACATTGCTAGCATTAAGACACATGCACACAGGCTCCATTGAGTAGGACAGCCGTCCTCCCTGAGGGGCTGTGAGAAGTACAGACACAAGAGAGGGACAGCCAGACACAGCGGACTCTGGCAGTGCCGGGAAACACAATGGCCTCAGCCTGGTGCCAGGGAGCAGCCCTGCCGTGTTGCCCCAGGCCCTGTCCTCCTTCTGCAGGCGAAAGGACAGAGCCATCCTTGTTTAGAGAGCAGTTAGCAAAAGGCTTGTCCTTGGGGAAGGCATTTGTGATGTACATGACCAGTCTAGATACTTATGCAACCAGCCATTTCTTGAAGTTTCTATTTTTTTTCTCCTAAATTGCACAAATAATACTGACTGACAATAGAATACCACAAATGTATGGGAACTGTACTGTCGTGGAGCCCAAGTGTAATTGAACCCCGATCCCCTGAAAGAAATGGGTTTTCTTTGGAAACTTACTGAGTTTCTGGTGTCCTTTAAGTCGACTGACTGTGGCCTTCACAACCTCCTCATGAGGATCCTGCGAGTTTAGAGTTGGAAGGTCTGTGAATTGGACCACTCTCCTCCTCAGTGGGATTGAGTCCCCTGGTCTCTGGGTCTTTCTGGCTGCTGCGCTCCTCAGGAGCCATCGCCGGGCCTTCTTGCAGCAGATGGTGCTCTAGTGTTGCAGAGGGGCTTTGGAAAGTGTCTGGACGCCAGTGGTGTTGGACTTCACCGTCCCCTGGGGATCCAAGATTGCCAGCCACCTGGAACTTTTGTCTGTCTGAAGCAGGGACGTCCTGAGGTGTGGAACTGACCACAGGAGAAGCAGGGGCATTCCTCCTTCCCCTCCACTTCCCTGGGCAGCCTGGGGTGCTTGGCCCCCACAGGAGAGCCTTGCTCCCCTGCCCTTCTGAGCTCCTCTTCTCTTGATCTCTTCATTCACCTTCATTGACCCCAAATGAAGCTTCCATCATGATGGTCTGGACCCTCCTTTTAATTAAATAAGTAAAAAATTTTGAAACAGCTTCTCTTTTTATGTTGCCCAGGCTGGCTTCACACTCCTGGGCTCATGCAGTTCTCTTGCTCCGGCTCCCAAGGAACTGGGATGTCACACGTTCTCGCCATCACACCTGGCTTGGACCCTCCCTTTCTTCTTCTTCGTTTTTTTCCTTCACAGAAAGCACAGAGGTTCCTCCTGGAGCTGCTAGAGAGAACACCAGCCTGGAGACCACGGCTCGCCTGTATCCCTGAGGCTCCTCTTTCAAAATTCCCCAAAGGAAACTCCTCTTCCCCAGATGAGCTTACTTTTCACTTTCTCTCCCTAAAAATCCTGAAATGCATCCTTAGGAAGATATTGCCTCTCTCAGAACTCACCTTTTCTTAGGTAGCTTCTCATCCTCAAAACCATACGGGTCTTCCATGGCTTTGGGTTATCTTGACTTTTCCACTTTCCCTTCAAAATATCTTCCCTTGAGGTCTCTCTTCTCCTAAAACTGGAGAAATAAATACCCCTCACTCCCTGTAACTAAGGCTGCCAGCGTAGTCCAGGCCTGGTGGATTGTGGCCCTCAGGCCAAGTCCAGCCAGATGCATACTTTAGAAGGTGCAGTAAAGTTTTATTGGAAGACAGCCACACCTGTTTGTCTGTGTGCGATCTGTGGCTCCTTTTCAGAGTTGAAGAGTTGTGATAGACTCTGTGACCTGCAAACCCTAACATACTTATTATCTGGCTTTACTGAAAATGTTTGCCAGGGCCGGATGTGGTGCCACTTACCTCTAGTCCCAGCTACTCAGAAGGCTGAGGCAGGAGGATCACTGGAGCCCAGGGGTTTGAGGCCAGCCTGGGTAACATAAAAATGTTACCCCATCTCATAAAAAGAAGAAAAAAATACTTCGTGGCTCCTGATGTTATTTATCATCCAAACTAGACGCTTTGGGTAAAAGGGAATGCTGTTAATTGTTAAACTGGGACAAGAGGGGTAAACCAAGGTTGTCTTGAATAAAACAGGGTGTCTGATCACACTTAGAATAGCCTACCAAAGATGGCAAAATAGGAACCCAGATCCATCATCTTTGAAGTCTAAAAGTGAACAGGTTGGCGTGTAGTTCTGAAGAAGGATCGAGAAACGTGTATCTGCTCAAAGGGAACAACATTGCACCTTAATGCAATTATCAAACCAGGATTCAGGCAAATGGAATTCGGATTCTGACTTAGGGATTCTGGGTGAGCCTCCACTTGTGTAGGTCCCAGCTTTTCATCTCCTAGGGAACGTCTCCATGTGAACCACTGTGCTAGGGGCTGGGGTATAGAAAAACGAATGCGCCCTCTTGGCTTTCCAGTTCTGAAAATGTGGGGAAACAGCTAGGTGAGCAAGGAAGAGACGCTCCAGCGTCATGGCTCCGTGACTCTTGGCCTTCTCAGGAGGATTCACAGGGCTTTCTAAAAGTCCAACAAGAACAACTTTAGAAGAGGAAGTTTTTATTTGGGGGCTCACAGTTTCAGAGGTGACTACTCTGTTGGTCTGGGCTGGAGAGGAGGCTGGACATCGTGATGGACCAGTGTGGAGGAGCTGTGAGTGTGGACCTTCACCCACCTCATAAGGAAAAGAACACGGTTCCCTCCAATGGTAGATCCCTCATAAACCAGAAGCCTCTTTTAGGGCCTTACTTAGAATCCCTAGTAGAGCCTTCATGGAGATATTGTAGTTTTAGAGAAACAGAGGAGACCAGGCATGTGAGGGGCATAAGAGTGAGGTCATCGATGGAACTTTGTGGAGAGAAGAGCATCTGCTCCATCTCAAGGGGGCCGGAGCTCTCGACAGCAGTTGGTTGTTTCTGTGTGAGTCTGAATCCAGAAACTAGAGCATTCACATGAAGTTTTCAGATTTTTATAATATTATATATTTTCATAAAGACAGTAAAGGCCAAGCGGAGCAGGTCTGAGGGCCATTGGTGGGTTTGCCAACTTGGAGTTCAGTTTTCTGTGTTTTGGAGTTAAGCAGTGGCTGTCCTTTGTGCTGGTGGGAATGACCTGTGATCTTCCATGGGACAGAGCTCGGTCATTAGGAAGCATATCCAGGCAGCTGGCCAAGCTTAAGGGCGTGTGTGGAGTAGAGCTTTTCCTTGTCATGGGCTCACTGACCCAGACAGACTTGGGAGTGTCTTCCTTGGCTCCTCAGGAGGGTGATCCGACCCGCCCAGGTGACACGACCCTTCATGAGCCAGGCACTCTAGGTGAAGGTGGACCCTCTTCCGCACGGCCTCAGGGGCATACCCTCTTCTCTCTCGATGCATCTGCCAAACCCTGATGTTTGGACTTGGGAGCCTCTGAGACCAAAGGGGAGTCTTTCTCCTTAGGTCTCCTGTTTTGTCTCTTACAATTTTCGCAGCGTCTTCTATGACCATGTTTTGCTCATAGTGCAATGTTGAGAAATAAGTTAGTTTCAAAAAATCTTAATTGTTGCCTAGATTCCTGCCTCTTAACCCAGGGTATAGAACATAATTTAAACCTTTCTTAATGACTCATGTTATCCAGAGATGCCTCCATTTAAAGACAAATGGCTTCTAAATAATTGTTTATTATTGCTATTTTACAAATAGTTATAATAGGTATCATAATTGTTTTTATGAACATGAACATAGTTTTAAAATGGTGGTGACTTTGACCTTTTTTAAGGACTATAGAGAGCAATTTTTTCTTACTGTTAATAGTCACTTTTTGTTTTCTATACCTATGGAGGATTGACTATGTTTTTTGAGCATATACACTAATTGTTTTTAAAATTTTTATTCATGCATTACAATTATACATAATAGTAGGATTCATTGTTACATGTTCAGACAGTCATATGATGTAATTGGGTGAATTTCATTCCCCAGTACCTCCCCTTGGCCTCTCCTCCTTCCTCTCTCTGGTCTCCTTCTTTTGCTTCCCTGGTCTACCTTCTATTTCATGAGATCCCCACCCTTTTCCCCTCTCTAGCTTCCACATA